TAATTGCAGACATACCCAGAAAGAGTGAAGTAATTGCAGATATACCCAGAAAGAGTGGGGTATTTGCTGATTCCCAGCAACTTTACATAGAATCACTAAAAATCAGTTTTCTTCCCAACCATACAAGATTGATTAGTAACTTTTTCACAGGTAGATAGACTTAGTAATTTTTTACAATAGATGACAATGTTACTATAAAACTCGTCAAGTGTATGAAACAGTAATTAAACTAGATGGTATTCGAGATTCTCTCGAATAAGAAATGCGGTACGAAGCACGAATCTTAATATATCGAGAACACGACATCTGATAAAAAAACAGAAAAAAACGCGTCTTAGGTCAATCCCGATTGGCATCTCTGTTTCAGTTGTTTACGTTCCACCGAGCTAAGATGTTTCTGTCGATTGTTGCCAATCGAAAATGCTACGCTTTCGTCAATCACCTAATAAACGTTAAGACCGAGTCGAATAGTAGCCATGATAAAATTCATTACTATGAAAACTCTATAGACGCATATGGACATGTTTCTAAAGAACGATATCTATTGATGGTTTATTTATCTACATGATTCATTCTCTGTTATCAGTTCTATTCGCAGCTGTCTGATTCATTCGCGAAGAGAGTAGCAGCTACCTTTTTCCGCTGTCTTTATTTTAATTATCTCGAAGTCTAAAATCAGCGCCAAGTCTCGCTACATAATATCGTCATGATGGAAGTATAATCCACAGATTATTATAGCATCCGGGTTTTCCTTTGGACAAACGACACCTGAGATAGAAATCGGCTAAAAGTTGTACCATACACAGATCTCAAAGTGTCTAATGACGTTTCAACGAACAACAAACGATGTGTCGTTCTCGAGATCATCGCGTCAAAAAAATATGGACTTTGGATGCGCTGGTCGAGAAAGAAGAAAGTTGCGAACCATAGCTATACAGTGCTTCGCACCGTAACTCAGTGGCAACCAGGCTAAATCCTGGATTGCGAAATGCGATGTAAAGCACGACTTTCGGTTTCAGGAAAAACATAAAAACTCGTTCTTCAAATCCATCTCGAATCGCTTTTCTTCTAAAAATGCTGATATTTCGCTGAAACAACACATTTTTACGTCGCTTCTATATCGAAAAAACTACATTTACATTTTTCAGCTTATCGGTGTAAGGATGCAAGTGAAAAGCAGCCGTAAAAAAGTTACCACTACGACAACTCTATCAATGCGTATAGACATGTTTCTAAGAAATGATTTCGATTGATCATTTAATTATCCATATGATTCATTATCTATCATCAGCTGGGTTGATAGCTGTGGGATACATGAACGATGAGATCGGCGCTTAACCTCGTGGTTCTATCGCGATTTTAGTTATCTCGAAGCTCGAAGAAAACCAAAATCCGTTAAAATTTGTGTTTTTGACAAACTAATTGACAGCGAACAGAATGACCTATCGAGAACTTTGAAAAAACCATACCGATTTGATCTTGACACTTTTACGTGGCGTTTGAACGAATACTTTATGATTTTCCGTTCTCGAGATCAACGTAACAAAAAATGACAAGTTTCGATGCGTACGTCGAGTAAGAAAAAAAGAAGAATACTCGTGCAGGACTACATAAATGCTGTGCTTCGCACCGCATTAAATATTAAATGAAAAAAATAGCAAAATTTTATGCATTTACGCCACTTAAAGTAATCGCATACATACACAGAAAGAGTGGAACAATTGCAGACAGCTATGTAAAATAGCGCTATTTTAAATAGCTGTCTGCTCTTGTCTCACTCTTTCTGTGTATGTTTGCAAATACCCCGAGTGGGATAAATACATAAAATTTTACTATTTTGATTAGTGTTTCATCTACTTGACAAGTTTTATAGTAACATTGTCATCTATTGTAAAGAATTACTAAGTCTATCTACCTGTGAAAAAGTTACTAATCAATCTTGTATGGTTGGGAAGAAAACCGATTTCTAGTGATTCTATGTAAAGTTGCTGAGAATCAGCAAATACCCCACTCTTTCTGGGTATGTCTGCAATTACTTCGCTCTTTCTGAGTACGTATGCAATTATCGCACGTGAGGCAATTGCAGAAAGTTTCTAGATACCTCTAGAAAAATCGCGATTGAACGATTTCGCACAGGTATTTCTTGATAATTTTTAGATGAGTTTATAGAGAAGACATTACTCTACATGTGTGAAAAAAAAATCTAAAAGAAAATTCCGACAATTGGCAGCGTTATGATGAGTACAATGAAAAAGAGTGATTTTTTGTCTGCAATTAGCCCACTTAACTCTAGTGAAAGATTGGTTTTTTTTGTTTATTTCATTGATTGAAAAAGCGAAAGAAATGAAAAAGGAAAAAAAAAAGAAGCAGCAATAAAATGTTTATACAAGAACAGAAAGATTTGATGAGTTATTTAATATAAAATCGATGAATTAATTCTTCATGCCTGATGCAGGAAGTTTTGGTAAACCGAATTCATCAACCATAACGCCGTCCTAATAAAAGAAAACAAGAAGATAAAGAAGAAAGAAAAAAAAAGCAATACTAACTTTAGTTGTTGAAGCTGCTGCATGACCAGCATCAAGTGGTTGAACAGGAACACTAGGTGCATGTAAATCGTTAAGCATGGCATTAGAATCGATACCAAATTCTTCTTCAGCAAGACCAGCCAATTCTTAAAAAGAAATACAAATATTACATATTAAAAATAACAACAGTAACAAGTTTTTTCTTCATACCACTTTCTAGATCAGCATCATTCAAATACATATCTTGACCAATAGGTCGACTAAACATGTCATTCATTTCTTCGTGATCAAGAAGCTGATCATCAAGATCATCCATAAGATTCTAAACAAATTAATAATCCATTCATTAAATGTAATCATTGAATTTTATAGTTTTTTTTTTGTTAGAAATGCTTATATTACAGATAATAGAAACCTCAAAGGGATTAGAGTTTCTATTGAGACTTGGCTACGCTATCGAATTTTAATCCGAAACTTTGCGTACATAGAGAACTCAATTAAACTAGCTTCTATAAAAAAGATTCAAAAGTTTTAAACAAAGTCTCTTCAAGACATAAGAGTTTTAAGACACGAATCTTTTTCTATGAAGAGTGCATGCAACATCCTTTTTTTTGATAATTTCGTATCTTGAAGATATATTATTCAAAACTTCTAACTTTTTAAGGAAGCTGATTTAGTTGAATTCTATGTATGCAGACAGTTTCAGATTAGAATTCAAAAACACAAGTTTCCTAAAAACCTGTAACTTCTAGAAAATAGACATAAAAGAATTCAATAGCTAAGTAAAATCTCAAAATAGAAACTCAAATCCTTTTAAGGTTTTCTATTAGAACACTATGTAAAATCTATAAGAAAAAAAATTATTGAAATCAGAAGGGAACAATTGAGAAAGTTTCCTCGTTAATTTTTAAAAAGTTCAAACCAAATCGAAATCGTTTACATTTCAAACTGAACCGATTCTACCTGTGCTATATTGATAAATATAGTTGTGATTTAGAGATATACGAGACCAAGTTTTTGTTTAATGTTTCAGTCTTACTCCTAGGCCTGTTAAATTTGATCTGATCTCGATCTAAGCTTAGAGAAAACTATTTTAGAATTTATTCTTATTAAATACTTAAATATTCGTTTTTTTTTGATTACTTCAGTCAACAAATGTTGTTTTTTTTTTGTTTTGGTCATCTCTCTTGAATTTTGCATTGACTGATGTAATTTATAGCATTAATCGATAATAATCATAGAAAGTTTAACTAAAATTTTCAATTCCGATTAGAACAACTTTTTTTTCTCAGTCATATTTTTTACATACTGAACCAATCCCATATCTTATAGATATACGATTAATTCTTGTAAATTTTCAATTACTGGCATAAATTTTTGTAGCTTTGCTAAGAAAGCTCTTATAATTAACTTAAGTAAACAGAAGCTTCTCGTTCTTCTTGATGTTTTATGCCTTGCAAAAATTCATCGTATGCATTTTATCGAGTACATGTGACACATTGTATCACAAAAAAATGTCACATCTTCTACTTAGTTTGTTCGATCGAACTGAAACTTTCTTTTAAGTATTGAACGCTGTTTGAAGTGCTTACATTTTTTCCTAAAAAATATTGCACTGTTAATTTTTGAAGATATACTCAGTATTTTGATGTTTTTATTCGAATAGAAGGAAATAAACAAGTAAGCAACTCAAACAATGTCTAGTATCTGTAAAAAATGAGAATTATAGTTTTATTAGACTTTGATAATTTTTGTTTTACTCATTGAGATCTACCTTGAAAGTTTCAAACATTTCTGATGATCTATTCTTCAGGAAAGATGGACTCTTAATGCTAAATTTATAGTTATAATTGACAATACGCGCTGTGATAATAAATTTCTTTTTATATGATTATTTTTTTTTTACCTTCTTTATTAACAGAAATAGTTAACTCAACTTAAACTTCAATTACTAAATAGAAGTCATTTTTTTATCAAAGCAAAAGATCATCTGATAAATCATATAACTTACTTCAACTTTGTCAGGTTTTAAATCTTTATAACCTTTCACTAATTGTTTCTTAGCATCTTTTAATCCAGTGAACTAAAACAAAAAAAAAGTAAATATAGTTGATTATTAATTATGAAAATAATATTTAAGATTTTCCTACAATTTGTTTTTGTGTTTCAATATTGCTAACAGCAAATGCAGTTGCACCTATATTACCTGCTTGTCCTTCTAATGTCATACGTTGTCTTTCATACCTAAAAGAATATATAAATTAAAATTTTATAGAAACAAATATTGTATTTATTATTTACATTTTCTTTTTACTTAAAAGCGCCATAGCTCGTGCCTTTTGACCTGCCTTAAATAAATACAGAAGTTCTTTTTTTTCAAAATTATTAAAAAACTTTACTTTTCTAGCTGGAGGTAATTTACTATAAGCTTGTAATTCTAAATATTAAAAATAAAATACTAATTATTAATAATAATAAAATAACTCAACCTTGATCAATTGTTGCAATTTGTTTATTCAATGTTTCAACACGTGAATCAAGTGTTGCTGCAGTATCATTTAATGTTGGTTTTGGTACAGCACTAGCTTTTGATTGACCGAAAATGCGATTCATTTTTGAATGATTAACAAAAAAAAATAACTCAATAAAACTATAAAAAAAATATATATATATATAAAATAAATCTACAAAAGAACTTGTGTTGGTTAATAAATATGTAAAAATGATTCATCAAGAGGAAGACGTCAGAAAAACAAAGTAAACGTCTGTCTAATAAATGACGTTACAACGGTAGAGCAAAAAATAAAAACAAAAAGAAAATCTAGTTTATTCTTACTGATATGACAAAAAAAGAAAAAGTTTGAAAGTATGATTATCATTCTGAGTCATGAATAGACCTTTTTCATCACTAGGAAAACATAAATAAAAGATGGCGCTAACTGATTTTCGATAAAGTCATTTTCAATGTTTATGTAAGATTCAATTCATTTTACGTGTAGATTGAAATATTTAATACACGTTCATTGTAACGAATTTTTTCGTATATCAAACTAAGATTCGAGCTGTTAGCTGATTACAACAAAAATTATATTTTAAACTGATGTAAAGCACCAGAATTACGAAACGAAAACTACTAAATGAATAACTCGAAAATGGTAGAAACTAGAAATTAAAAGAGAAGATTTCACGATCTCATTTCATAGAACATCATGAGTGAAGTACATAATTTTTAAGGATTCAATGGACTTCACAAATCATTGGAAAATTTATTGATAATGACGTGTTGTTCTCGTAAATTGCTCATACAAATAGTACGAGTATTTGATATCGTTTGATCAACATTGAGACATAAAAAAGAACTATCTACGCTGTGTCGATGAGAGTGAATTTAAGATTCAGCCGTGGAACCAAGATCAGTAGGGATCTCAAACCGACCGTGACCGATATGTCTTATGAATGATTTTTATCTTTATATCTCATCGAAGATAAGTAATGAAACTTTATTGAAAACTGATATATATCGAATATCACTGTTCACAAATGGAATAGTACAATAACCCGTCAGTTCAATGTCTGTGTGGTTTTTAGACCAACAGGCTTTATCTTCGCTGCGATTCTTCTATGTATTGTGCCCATCGAAACAATAAACTATAAACATGAATATTTAAGTATTTTGTGTAAATGATTGTATATTGCGGATTATTGTGTGCAAAAACATTCTATATTATCTTATTTTGAGTTCTGAAAACTTTAGATTACCATAATCATTACAACTCTCTAAATCCCGTATCAATCATTACGGATTGCCGTAAAACGACGTAAAGATATTGTAACGTTGCCGTATTAATGATCCTACATTTGCAGAGAAATACGCCTACGATGATGTGTTGTATCTAATCGTAGACGACTGTATACGAACTGTATTTTTCAACTAGAAACATTCGTTTGAGACTTTTTTCTTTTCAAACTTGATGTCAATATTCGCTATAAATAGCATATTATTTTTTTATTAAAATATTAATTTTATGTCACAAAAATATTTATTACATTAGTAATTTATCATGAACGCCTTCATATTGTGAGAAGAATATTAGGGACAAATAGTTTTTCATTGAATGTTGTAAAAGATAAATGGCAACGACATGTGATGTATTATTTCAAAGATCATGATGCAGTTATTGTTTTTTTTTGAGAAAGTATCGATAGCATAATGGTGTAACCCAAAGGAGGGCTAGAGAATACATAGCTTGTCTCTACTCCAGCGGAAAGTCTCGAATCCTCCCTACCAACGGTTGAGTTTCATTTAAAAAGATGATGAATTCCCCCGGCTATAACTGTTTTCTCTTTACATCATCACGACAGTAATCTTTATTTGGCATACTATAATAAACAAAGTAATTTCTGTTCGAATATTTTACAATAAATTGTTTCGTGTTCAGATATTTTGCTATGCGACTGTAAAAATAATGAAAAACATTAAGTGAGACTATGGAATCAAATATATAAGCTAATTGATTTCTAAATTTAATTTATTCTGAAATAAATCTCTTAAGCAAAGTTTTCATTCATATCTCTTGACAATTATTGATGTGAATCATAAAAAAAAGAATGTACTGCTATGATTTATGTTAAATCATTCTTTATTTCATAGATCCATTAAGCATAAAAAATGTCGTGTTGACTCGTTTTTCTTACTAAGAGTTTATTTGCTGCTTTTATAATACAGGAAATCAGTGAGAATAATATATAGCTCTTCTTGTTTTTTATGTTTTATTTGTATTCTTTATTTCTTGGTTATTTATTAGAGAAAAATATATAAGTGCATAGATCAATACTGTATTTCGTTTACTGAACAATCCGTTATAGACTTCTTTTTATATGTTGATATTCATTACATAAAAGAATCTTGTCATTCATATTGATTTTTATTTTCAAGAAAAAAAAAACAGATATGTCATCACATGAAGCAATCGGTTCAATATCTGTACCTATTCTTATAAGTATTATATTGAAAAGTATTAGCGCATACATTATTTGTTTATGCATAATTATTATTAATACACTTCTCATTGCAAGTTTAACTCTTATTAAACGTTTACGTACAACACAAAATCTTCTTCTAATAAATGTTTGTTTTGCTTGTATATATTTTTCATTATCATGTATGATTTCAGTTAGTTTCACAATTTCTATTCTTAATACAAAAAATGTAAATTCATATTTATGTCAATTAATTGGATTTCTTATTATGTCAAGTTCACATTGTGTAATGCTATCATATACATTGGTTGCATTTGTTAGATTTTTAACAATTATTTATCCATTTAATAAAAAAATTACAACAATTCATTATATTAAAATTTATTTAATATCAATATGGTCAGTAGCTTTTCTTTTACCAGGTATAAGTTTAATCTTACCTAAACAACAAATAATATTTCAATCAAAAGCTAAAATGTGTACAATTAATCAACAATCACCATTATTATTCATGTATTTTTGTACTGGTTATATTATACCGTTTATACTTATATCATTAATGAATTTAGTTATTTATTTAAATGTAACACATTCTCGACAAGTACTTTTTCTATCTCGAACGCAACAATGTCGTTTAAATCGACGTAAACGTCGAAATTTACGTTTGTTAAGACAATTTTCATTCTTTACAATTATCTTTTTGCTTGGTTGGACACCATTTATAATGATTGAAATATTTGATAAAAAAGAAAAACTTCCCGATGTATTTTATTTATTTACACTTATTTTACCATCAATATGTATTTTAATTGATAGCAATGCTATATTATATTGGAATAAAACAATTCATCAACAAATTCAATTATGGTGGCGATCATTAATAAAGAAAAAACCTCAAGTAATTAATCATCAACGTAATAGTCCTTCACTTGATCATGATATTTTGTCAATCGGTACAAATGCAAATATGTCAACCGTTTAATTGGATCAATTCAGCAAACAATTGTGTTTAATTTTTCCAAAGTGTTGCTTATATATTGCGTCGCCCAGTTTTTAAATTTAATGGAATTACAAACTTTTGTATAAACAAAAAAAACGAACAATGGAAATTTATTTAGCTTTTTTCAATCTATCATTCTTCATTCTCATATATTCAAGCTTCACCTTTTGATTTTCATAGCAAACAAATATTTCACTTCATTTCTTTTTTGTTGTTCTTTTCGCATTTGTTTTCGTTTCACGATTTGATAATCCTTTTTACTCATATTCAATATAATCAATCGGAAACATTCAATAAACATATTCTTTCATTTAAATCTTATTTTGTTTGTTTCATTCGAAATATTTATATAAAAATAAATGAAGAAAGCAAGAGTTACACAAAAAAATATTCAATTTCATAATGATATTCAAATTAGAGAAATTCCACGAAATGAATCTGAACCAGAAATAATATCTAGTAATATTAATGAACAGTCATCATGGGATCCAGATTTAACAAATGTAATCTCTCTTTTTTTTGATATTCATTTATAAAAATTGATTAGTTCGATTTCTTCTAGACAAATGCATTCAATAAACAACCAACACAATTCAACGTCGTTATTATTGTCATTGTAGTTGTTGGTATTGTTCTTGTTGGTGCTATCATTGGAACTGTAGTCGGTGTGATACTAACTCAAAAAAGTACGCTTATATTTTTCGAAGAAGCAAATTTAATTTTTGTATTTCAGCAAAGACTGTCGCCGATAATTCGCTTACATATAATGAAGCATGTACAGTAGGCTCAAATCAGTGTATTTCATCGCAAAATCTTTCTTGTTCAAATGGATTTTGTTCTTGTTCATCACCATATTCATGGAATTCGGTAACGACATCGTGTAAGATTTTGATTAAAATTTTTCATAAGAATCTCAGAGAAACACATAATGATAATAAGCGAAGTCGTATTTAAAAAATATACTTTTGATTAGCATTTAATTTTCTAAAGAAGATAAATTGTTAAATTGATACAAACACGTGTACACGTGTTCTCTATTATACGTGAGAACACATTCTAATATATTTGTTAGAATAAAAATCGCGACAGTGCAAAAAAACGAATATGAGAAATATGTACGAGTCATTTTTAATTGCGGAGTCTGAACGTGGATATTTTGTTTTATAAAAATGACTTCTTGACCAGTCTGTTAACTACCAACTTCACGACTACATTATAAACTGTGTGATAGAATGATTGTCTAATAGGTGTTCAACTCGAACATGAACAGTTATTTGAAAAAAATAAATAAGTTTATTCTTTAATTAATATTGAATAGTGATCAGAGTTGGTGATCAAATGATTCGGTGCGGGTGTGTGAATGTCGATGTGAGTGAGGAACTTTTGTATACGTTTACCAACATTCTGACTTATACAACCATCCACATCCGCCTTCACTCACCTTTACCTACTCACTTTTGAGGTTCTTTAGTATACTTTACGATTAACATGTCATGCGATGAATTGTCATAGTAGCATAAGAGTAAACACACTTCGACATCTACGTAGTTTTTTTTATGGTCCATGATTGACTGAAAAGAATGATGAGATTTCTATTTTACAGATTCATTTACAAATTATTCTCAATGATAAAGGAATATAAGTGATGGGTCCCAGGTGAATGAAATGCGGCTAATTTCGGCCAAAAAAGTTCATCAACCGATACGAAACAGAGATAAAGATCGATTCAGTGCGTAGCTTTTCAAACTGATTTCAGTTTCGTTTGAGTTTTAAATTTTCAAAAACCTGAACTAATTCCATCTTTAGTTAGAAATTCAAAGCAGGAATTCATTGACCAGATATAGTGGTTAGATTTTTCCAACTTCGACTGGTATCAATCGTAACCTGTTACATACATATCCGAGCACCTAATCATTGATCTGGGATAATCTATGTTCGAAAATTTATTTCATTCTTTTTAGGTACATATTTAACTTATAATCAATCATGTACAGCATCAAATCAATGTGATTCGACAGTTGATCTTACTTGTACAGGTACTTGCACATGTAATAATTTAAAAGTATGGAATATATCGACTTGCGTTTGTCCAGCTGGCACATTTTTAAATTCCTCTAATATATGTCGTAAGATTGATTTTTCTTTTCATTAAAATTTTGTCTTATTTGACCTAATTGAATTAAGAAACTGGATATACTGTTAATCAGTCATGTACAATGGGTTCAAATCAATGTGATTCAACAAAAGGTCTTTATTGTAATAATAGTCGATGTCAATGTGACTATTCAACGAAATATTGGAATATCAATTTTCTAACATGCAGTAAGTAATTTTTTCTTTGTATCATTTTCAAAAATAAAAAAAATTCTTTTAATTTGTTTTTTCGAAATATTTAGATTCACGTCTTAATTATAGTGAAATGTGTGTATATGATAGTGATTGTTTACCAACATTGATTTGTCCAACAGTGCCAGGTGTATGTAATTGTTCTCGATATTTACCTGATTTAGTTTGTAACTGTGACAATACAAAATATTATGATCCAATGACATTACAATGTGGTATGAATATTAAACGTATTATTTTTCTTGATTAGTTCTTGTTTTATTTTTATTTAAAATAGTCAATCGAGCAACGTATGGTGGTTCATGTTCAGCATCAGCTAATTATACATGTCTTTTAACACTCTATTGTAATGCGGGTACATGTGCTTGTCCAACAGGCACTACTTGGGTAGCTGCAAATACCGCTTGTGTTACTTCGGGATGAATTTTTATGTCATTTTCTTTTTTCTCTCCTTTGTATGTGATATTTAACATATGATTGCATTTTTATATAATTATACTGATGTCTGCTAAATGATGTTTCTGGCAAATTTATTATTGCATCGTTGTATTTTGTTTGATGAGCCATATTTTATATCTGCTAAGCGAATGTCATTAATGATTAATATCATAGAGAAATAAAAGAAAAGCTTGACAAGCTAACCGAACATTAACGACGTATATACAAAGATATCTTTTTTATCTCAACAATTGTATACAGCATACATATTTCTTAATCATAGAAATGGCTAACACTCTCATTTTATGCATATTTATACTAATAATATTGAACTTTTATTGGAGTTACGGAGCTAATGGTGCTACACGTGATCAGGTAAATGTTCATAAAAATATTTCCGATATTAAATTCATTCCATTTCAATAGCTTATTCTTGCAAATTTCAAAGCACAATTATCAAAAGCTCGTACACTAAAACAAGCTCTTGCTATATATGCTGATGCAAATGTGAGGAATAGACATCAAGTAGCTATGCAAAGTATTGTCTGAAGAGCAATGATTTATGTTTCTTTTTCATTTGTGTTCACCTTTGATGTTTTATTTTGTTTTCTTTTTTTATAAAAGCGGATCTTCGTAAAATTGAAAAAGAAATTAATACACAATTGGCTGACCTTGATTTACCAAAAGGTATTAACATTAATTAGAAATCTGCGTGACTCTTTTGTTTTTCTTTCTCTAATAAATATTTATAGATGATAAGATTGTTCCATATGTCAATGGTGGATGCTTACCACGTATAACATGTGTTCCAGTTTATGCTCAACAAGCAACAACAGGTGGTATTGTTTTTCCCAATTGTGTCGAAGTTCATCGATGTTCTGGTTGCTGTCAAGAAACACAATTTTCATGTGAACCAACAAAAATTGATTATGTTTCATTCAGTCCTGTAAATAGTTTCATGTTTTTTTTAAGAATCATTTCAAAGATAGAAATAAATAAATCATTTAGATTATCAAATTTGAACATGGTGATGGATCTATTCCACCAATAGCTGCATTAAAACCATTTAAAACAGAAAATCATACGGAATGTACATGTAAATGTAAACTAAAAGAAGATGCATGTCCAAGCAATGCTCAGGTATGTATTAAACAAAAGAGAAATTCTTTTTCGCATCTATAAATTGATTTAGGTATTGGATCATGAATTATGTCGATGTAGAGAGCAAGCTTGCTTTCCTCAATGTCAAGCAATGCAACGCTGTCAATTGCTTAGTACCCAAGATAAACCATCGTGTGTATGCAAACGACCTATTCCCGGTCAGAATGGCGCATATTCATGTCCATCAGGTTTTCAGCCTGATGCTCGTTGCAAGTCAGTTTATTTTTATCCTATTAGTCATTCGATATATTTTATAAATTTTCTTTTTTCCTTTTTAGGAAATGTATGAAATATCCATGAAGATAAAAGACAGAAGAAAAAAAAATATTCTCTTGACAATGATTTGTTATATGATATTATGTATAATATAGAAAAATAAATAAATAAATAAATATCATAGAAAAATGCGAAGCATCATGAGTCAGAAAATGACATTGATGTTATTTATCATTAGTAGATCAAGCAATATCTCTAGCTATCTATGTATATATGTGAGATTTTTCTCATATGAAAGATAGTTTTCTATAAGACGAAATAAATATATTTGTTACACAAGTATCAAAGTATGATGAAGATGTATTTGTTTATAATAGTTATTTTAATTTTATTGAACAATTTGATAAATGGGGATGTGGTATGAGTATGAGAATATTATATTTGAAAGAAAAAAAAACTGATTGCTTCTTTTATATAGAATAAACATCAACAAGCAGAAATTCGTGCTCGTTTAGCTCGAGCTAAATCAATCAAAGAAGTTTTAATTATTCTTAAGAGTTCAAGCAACGAAGGTCGTCACTGTATGTATTATCAGGGTTTTATCTACCTTTTCTATTCCGAAGAAGCAACTTAAAACTCGGGGAGGGGGCAAACAACTATTTTTCGAATCACTGACACATAGTATATAGTGCAATAACCTCAAACCCCAGACAGATTAACCCAGTTTTCGAAGAGACTGCACTCCTCGATAATTACATTGAATGAAAATCTGTGATTTGTATCAATGAATTAGTTTATCTGAATTGAATTCTATACTTTTATTAGCACTTCTAACTTCCGAAGCATTGGACAGAGAACAAGCATCAATTCGAACGGTTGCACAACAGCTAAAAGCAGGTATTTTCATAAATGTTACGTATTTAATTTTTAATTTATATTTTATCTTAAGATGTCGGTTTAACAGTTGAACCTCGCAATGGTGTTTGTGAACCTCGTGTTCTATGTGAACAAGTACCTGTTGATCGTAAAGTAGGTCATAATACAATATCTTTTCCACAATGTCTTGAAATACATCGATGTGGTGGTTGTTGTCAAGAAGTTCAATTTTCTTGTATACCTACGCAACAACAACCAGTGACGTTTAGTCCAGTTAGTAGAAAAGGGAAATGAGATGTTTTTTTCATGTAGAAGAGTTTTCTTTAATTTAGTTATTATTGATTTCTTTGGATGATACCAATCAATATGAAGTTAATCGTCCATTAACATTAATGAATCATACACATTGTGAATGTAAATGCAATAAAAAAGAAGACGAATGTTTCCGAGAAGGCAAAGTAAGACTTTTCTCTTATTCGTAATATAAACAAAACTCTTATGTTTTTCTTTGCACTTAAATTAGACACTTGATTCAGTATTGTGTCAATGTGTTCAACCACGCTGTGTACCTGAATGTCGTATATCATCAACATGTTCGATTGTGCATGGTAGTAGTATACCACGCTGTACATGCCGTCGTCGTATACAAGGACAAGCGAGTAATTATTGTCCAAATTCTAATCAACGACCAGATGAAATGTGCAGGTAAAAATAAAAATTTTATATGGATGGTATAAATTTTATTATTAATTTCTTTTTAGACGTTGTGAAACATTTTATGGTTAATATGAATCATATGAAACTTATTTACATATTTATATGTTCAATTAAATTATTATAAATCTTCTCTTACTCTTTTCTTTTTGAATAAACTAACAACTCATTTCCATTTGATTTGAGTTGAATTCTCGTACAGTAGAGAAAGAACAGATTATGCTATATATATATATATTACACTCTGCTGTTCGATTAAATAATTTATAGTACACTGAATTGCAATATGAATCTTTTTCTTATTATTAGAAAAGATGTGTACCTGGAAATTAATTAATTTACAATCAGGAAGGAAAAGAAATACATATAAGACAATGAAATAATAAATTTAAAATATCCATTGAAAACATCTTTTTTACAAGACTCGGTTTCATACATAGACGATATTATCAGCGTGATTAATTACATAATTATATTAAATGTCATCATTAGAATTTGTCGTTAGTAATACTTGTCGAGTATCTCCTTGAACGATTGTAGGTGGTGTTTCAGGACGAGAACTTAAACGAACCTAAATTTAAAAGAAAAAAGTTAAATTTTATTTCTACTAATTCTAAATTAAACATACACGTCTTCTATAACGTCTTAAACCACCACCAACATTACCAAGCCATCGATTAGTTGGATGGAATATTTTTTTCGTACGAGACTTTGTATTACTGGAAATTGAAGTATGTGAATCTTCAGTATTTGTTGTTGCTAAAAATAGATTATAAAAGATTTATTTTTCAAATGAATAGCACAAAATTTGCATAATGAAAATTTGAAACACATTCTGGTTGCTGTTGTTAATCACAGAGAATCTGTTGTATTCTATCTATTTTGAGATATATTTCTTCACTATTTCTTTACTTAATCCTCGAAAAATACAAAAAGGAAGCGGTTCATATATTATAATGAGATGTTACTGATCTACGATCTGTCATTATATATCAGCAACATCTGTGATATATTGTTGCTAAGATCTTTGTTACGATCTATGGCGTAGGCGGAGGGAACGCATGCAGTTACCGCAGTGGTTAGGCTCTCTGTTATTTTTCAATAGTCGTATCTGTCACAGTCTATGATATGTTGTTGCTAAAATGTGCATCATGCTTGTAATGAACTATCGCTAAGGAAGTCTATAGAAGGGAGATCTGAATTTCTACTCCTAAAGTTCAACACTCTTGTCAGATTATGTTTCACAAAAAAGTATCGAAAAATAAAATATTTATTTTACCAATTTCATCTTCATCATCACCATCATCATCATCTTCGTCGTCATAATCATCTTTTGGTGGTTCACGTACTCGAGTTATTAATTCAGCTAGATCAATAAATTTTGTTCCAGTTGATTCTTGTTTACGCTATGAAAACAATTTCAAAAAATTACGTTTTTTTTTTGTTTTGTGGTTAAGACAAAAATAAAATTAGTTATATTTACTAGTCGTAATTGTTTTTCTCTAGATGAATGAAGTTTTTGTTTAAGAAAAACTGCATCATATGATTCTAGTTTTGACCAACCATGAAAAACAGCTTTTCCATGATGATAACCAACTTCCTGAAAAAAAATTGATAAAATTTATTTGTTTTTGTAAATAATTAATTAAAATTTTCCAACTCGAATTTCATCAAATGAACCAAATTGTAACGTTCGATAACGATCAATAGGTGGACGTAAATATTCACAATAATTCGAATTTTTTACTATTTCTAATTGTCGTTGACATGATACATAGGCAAGACGAGTTTGAATTTCACTTAATTCAGGAATTTTAACAGGTGTTGACCAAATATTCCAACGTTTATATAAAATCCACCAACCTAAATTTGATATTGTTTTCTTTTTTAATTAATCAAAATTCCTATTTTTATTTATCTATACCAGAAAGTCGATCACCAAAATTATAAAAATTTTGTTCATCTTGTGCACCAACATCAACAGCAAGAACAGTATGTGCACCGAGTTTATACATTACATCCGCTAAAAAGGTTTAGTTAATTTTCATTAAAACTCATTTTTTTTTATTTTGAGCACATCGATTCCTGGACAGTTAGTTTTAATCAATTATTTATAATAATTATTGTTATGAATAAAAGTTATTCTTTTAAAATATTTATGAATCAGACTGAAATATTTATTGAATCATACAATGCTATGATATATTGTTCAAAGAATCAATTATAGATTAATCGAAACATTAGGAATCATTAAGTGAATGCCAGTGCTTTCATATTATAGTTTTGATAATCTTGCAGTCTTTGATAGATATACACTTATAGAGTTCATATCATGCGTCACATTGGTGGCTAAAAAAGGGATCCTTTATTTTTGTTTTCATCAGTATCTGTTTTTTAAAGTACTTTGTGCTTTTCCATAAATAAAATAGTGATCAAAATACGAAGCATACTATTTTGTAGCCACTGAGTGACATGTCAAAAGAGTCTTATGATTGCATACTGAAAGGACATTAGACCTATTATAAGTATTAGCGTTCAGTCTCTGTCAGGATCCATGTTTTCATCTTTGAAAATACAATAGAATTCTATTATTATATTGACTGACCTCAACGGGCATAAAGGGACTCATTAAACGTTAATAATATTATGTAACTGAACATCTACCTGTGTATTAAAACGAATGGAAAAAGGCGAGTCTTGCTTCTCCCTCCTACCTCTGTTTAGAACACATTTGTAAGTTCATTAATATTATCTATTTGAAGATTTCATGCTAAAATTTAGATCTCAGCTTTTCAGAAGCGCTTTTACAATCATATGTGAATCTTTCAGTTATGCAGCTAATATCATTAAGTAATGAAGATAATTCAAATTTGAAACAATTTTTTTCGAATTATGCGCAATTGATATTCTCAATAAGGATTAGTATTTTCGAAACTCGATTTATTAAGATATGTATACGATATTGATGACAACAACATTTAGCTATGACTTTATCTTACCCGGTAAATTATTTACATATCCACCATCAAGTAATAAATGTCCATCAATTGGATCACATAATCTATCAGATCAAGAAAAAAGCCTAGCTTTATAATCAACAATCTATTAAAATAAACTTACGGAGGAAAATAACCTGAAAGACTCATTGATGCTCTAACATACCGCCATAATGATCCTATATTTATATAATAGAAAAAAAACTCAAATAGCACACTAAGAAAAGAAAGAACTCAATAAAATTATCACTCGAAAAAAGACGTATGATGTACTGTGAAAACTGTCCAGGAATCTATGATATAAAAGAAAAAAATCAATTCAATTAATTGATTTTCTCTTTATAGTCATTAAAATCTTACCAGGAAGATTGTTCACATAGCAACCATCTGAATAAAATAAAATAAAATAAAAAAATCGTTGTTTTTCTTCGTTGTTCTAGTACTCGTTTTTTTTTTTCATTTTTGAAATTCTCACCTACAAGAAGATGTCCATCATATGGATCACACATAGGTGGAAGATAAAAAGCATAAGTCATCGATGCACGTACATAACGCCAAGCACTTCCTGTAGAAAAATATGGGAATTCTCATATCTAATTAGAATTTTTTTTTGTAACAACATACGTCTTTTTTCGTTTATTAGTTACAACATCAATAAGAGAAGTTTTTATATTACCTGTTGTATGTACACGCATTTTCGATGCTGATATATCAGTTGTTATACAAAAATATGGAATCCATAAATCTTCTATTTGAACATCAAGTAAAGCTTCTTCAATAGTTTCATTAAATGAAGCTCCTAAACAAAAAAAAATTTTTATTTATTAAGTTGTTTTTGTGAATAAAATAAATTCTTTTTTTAAAACACGATCTAAAAATAGTGTTGAAGTATAGACGTAAAAGTTTGAACCTCTTCCTCACTCAGACTGTGATTGACATTAGTTAGAGACTGTCTTAGACCGTAACAGACGTTGTTGATATACAATCAAAGACTGAATATTAATAACATATCGGTTTCCTATATGAACTACATCCGTTTTTGCGTTTCTCGAGGATTAAATAAAAAGATAATGAACAAATGTATCCTAGAATAGATGATATAGAGCCATATCCTTGTGATTAGCAAGAATAGTTACATCGTTTTTATTTACCCGTAAACATGCTTGTTATTGGATATGTTAAATCAAGAAGTTTTCTCCAAAAGGATGTCATTTTCTATGTTCAATTAAATCAAATAAAAACCTGTAAGAAAAATTCAATGAAAAAAAAAACAGAACTTACTTTGCACCATTCGTTTACTCTTTCAACATAACCTTTGATATTTAATTCATCAGCCCATAAAGCTCCCATAAATGCTCCTATACTTGTTCCACCAATTAAATCAATAGGTATACCAGCTTCGTGCATGGCTTGAATCATTCCAACATGTGCACAGCCACGTGCTCCACCACCACCCAAAACAAGACCAATAGCTGTACCAGTTAGAAAACGAGCCATACGAGCAAAATCAGTTGTTGGATCTGGATCTGGTTCAAGTAAATCTGTATAATCATTCTAATAATAAGACGAATATTTCTTTGGAATGCAAAAAAAAAAGAAAACATGTAATCAAAAATTTTCATACCCAACATTCTAAATTAACATTTTGAAAAACACGTTCTGGACATCGAACATGATGATGAAATGTACACCAATTACGTTCTTTTAACCATTCAGCAGTACCTTTTGGTTTTAAACTACCCATACGATGTAAAAGTATTAATTCTTTTTGAGCTCGAACCGCTATTCGTTCGATTTCTTTTTCAACCTATTCACATGTGATGAATTTCTCTTTCTATACTGTAATCAAGAATATGAACTAATACTAACTGATCTTTTAACTGGTTCTTTCCATCCAATACCAATAATAAGAATACAATCAGCTTGTCGAAGTGATCGTTTTGTCCATGGTGTTAATTGTTTATCACATTGATAGACAACAATTCTATGTAATTCTTCTTGTTGACCAAGCCACGCACTTAAACGGTAATCATTTATACTTTCAAATGCACTAACACCAAAACGATCAATAATTAA